GCAGTCCTTAAATCCAGTTTTAAAAAGTAGTTGGATATTCTCATAACGTGCATACCACATTGCACCAGTGGGCCTTTATTGGCCTTGCAAGCAGGTCATCATTGTAGTTGAAAAGGCTCATAGCTAGGTTAAGATTGGTGATTACTATTCTGGTAGCATGCACAAAACTTTCTGACACTATGAACACTAGTCAGCAGGGACAGTGCTTCCAGCTGAGCGCCAGCTGGATTTCTGATAAGGATTTCAGAATTCCCATACAGATTTCTTTGTTCTATACTGTAAGTATGTGGTGTCTTCAATAATAGTGTCTTGCTGTGAAGCTGTGGAATGTAACCAATAGCATTAGGAATACCCAACAATATTTGGGGAAGGGTGTCTGCTGGACCCCTTTGGCTAATAAAGGGCAGGGTCTTGATCACTACTTTATTCCTGGGCCCTGTAAGTGCTTGCTAAATACATAGTGGAAGGATTAATTAGGTAGTATTTTAGTATACACATGAGTACAGTATTGCTCAGAAAGTTGTGTCTAAGAAAGAGTCTTTGCCATTTATTGTGAGGTGGTGCACACCTTTAACCCAGCATTTAGGAGGCAGAGGTAGGCAGATCCTTTGAGTTCAAGGACAGCTAAGGCTACACAGAGAAACCCTGTCTCCAAAAGAGAGAGAGAGAGAGAAAAGAAAGAAAGAAAGAAAGAAAGAAAGAAAGAAAGAAAGAAAGAAAGAAAGAAAGAAAGTCTTTCCCATTTCTCCTCATCACACCCTCCTGCTAGACCTACCTGATAAAGGCTGCAGCTTTGACAACTGGGCACCTGGTAGAAGGCATTATGCATGCATTTATGATTTTACCTTCAACCTCTTACATTTTCACAACTTAGGTGACTTCCCAAGACCCTAGTCCTCCCTTGTGCTATGATGAGTTTTGAGCTGAAGTCAGATTTCAGCTGGGCCCCATTATCATCTTCCTGACTCTGTTGTGTGGCTCTTGTACTCAGTTAACTTTTCAGAGCAGCTTTCCATGGTGGGTCTTCCTAAGCAGGAGAGTTACTAACACTGCGTGTGCTTCCTGTGGAGACCACTTGCAGGAGAGTCAGAGCACTTGGCTGTCTCAGTGCCAAACAGTGAGTTGCGAGAGAGGACAGAGTGCCTAATAGGTGTCAGAACATTTCCAGACTTTACAGATGTAATCCTTTTCAAATTATTCTAAAAACCAAGAAGTAGCATAAAATTTAAAAACTCATGGTGTCTGCCCACTCTTTGAGAAGTCATTATCAGAGTCTCACGATAGCTTCCTCTACAGATTTAAAAAAAGGAAATGCGAATGTGTTGTCTTGAGCACTGCTCATACTGTTTTGACCAAATGCCCGTGATCCTTGTGATTCCACACATCTAAAACTACCTGGAAATAACATTTATCTTTTTCAAAGTCCCAACCATAAATCAACCATAATGGAAACCCTCGCTTTTATTGCAAAGCTGTGTGCTCCAACCTTTGAGTCTAAAGTGTTTACCTGGCTTTTCTGCAGCTGACTCAGTGGATTAGTCCCTTTTAATGCAACTTGCATGGCAGTGTGGTCACCAAATTATGTGACAACTTTAAATTCCGTGCATGATTGATAGCATATTGCTCTCTACTTAAATCTGTTTACTTTTATGATCAAGGCTTCAAATATAGAAAAATGAAGGTGAAAAAACAAGGGAAACAACTCAAGAAATGAGAGCTTGGTTCCTAGGCTGCCTCCCAGCGTTAGCAAAGGACAGGGTGTCTTCCTCCAGAGCAGCCTTGGGCGTGGGGCACGATGAAGAGTGAGTTAAGCAGTACATAAATTCCACAGTTTCGAGATGCCAGGGAACGTTCTTTCCTTAAAACATTTCTTGTCAGTGTTGGTGGCACACACCTTTAATCCCAGCACTCATGAGGCAGAGGCAGGCAGATCTCTGTGAGTTCCAGGCCAGCTAGAACTGTTACACAGGAAAACCCTATCTCCAAAAACAAAAACAAAGATATCTTACCCCAATGTTTTCCAAAACTACTGTCCATACCTGTCTGTCTTTAGACCTTCATTCAACCTCTAATTCCTCAGGACGCTGTATGGGCATCCATCATCCTGTCTGTGTCTCAGAACAGCCCTCCTTTCTGTTTCCAGGAAGTTTTCAAGCTGGGTGTTATTTCATTGCTAAGTATTACTAAGCATGGGTTGGTTACCTCTTCTCTTGAACATTCTCTCAGGTTAGTTTAGTCCCCCTCCCCAATTCTTTTTCATTGGTTGATTGTTTTTTCGAGACAGGGTTTCTCAGTGTAGCCTTGACTGTCCTGGAACTCGCTCTGTAGACCAGGCTGGCCTTGAACTCACAGAGATCCTCCTGCCTCTGCCTCCCAAGTGCTGGAATTAAAGCCGTACACTACCACCACCTAGCAGCTCCCCATTCTTGAAGTCACTGTTTCACTTTTGATCTATCAGACGTTCATGTCTCCATCATAAGATGAATGAATAAGAAGCTGTTTCTCAGCTTGCCCCCCACCCCCAATTTCTTTTTGTTCCTGTTCAGTTTGAATTGGGTTTTGTTTTTTTTGAGACAAGATCTCATATAGCCTAGGTCGGTAAAACTGCTGATCTTCCTGCTTCCTGCTCCCAAGTATAGGAATAGCAGGCATGTGCTGCCATGCCTGGCCTCTCAGCTTGTTTCTCTGCTGAGGCTTCTTATTTGCTATTTCTGTTTCTCTTAATCAGAAATTGCCAGGGATTGTGTCAACATGTCATCATTAACAAAAAATATGGGTAGTATCATACTAACCATATTGTGGTCATGTTATGATTCTAAATCACTGAAATGGGATAAACTAGGGAATAGTGGGATTTTAGCTCCCACTCCCTTTCTGCTTCCCTGCCCTCCCCTCACTCCAGGCCTTGAGCTCTGTAGCCCAGAGCTGCATCCACAGCCTTTTCTCATTTAAAAATGCAGACGATATTGGATATACTCAATAGTTGTTAGATGAGGGCTAGGGGTGTGGCTCAGTTGCAGAGTTCTTAACTTACGCATGGTGGCTTGGCCATATCAATCTTAGCAACTCCACTAAGAAGACAGATTTAGGAGGAACAGAAGTTCAAGGTGAGAAGATAGCCTGGGATATGCAAGATCATGTCTCCAAAGAAAAAACTTAAAGAGTTGATACTTTTAGTGTGCAAAGAAAATTATAAATGGTCACATGACAAGTACTTTCTTGGAAAACTTTCAGTAACATCCCTGTTGACTTTCAAATTAAACATGAATGTCTCTGCCCATTTTCGGATGCTCTCATGTAGCAACCCAGCCTACTTTGGTAACTTTCTTTCATGATTCCCTACACATTCTTGCATGCAAACCCACTTACTGTGAGTGATAGCCCAGTAGCAACTGCAGTTTGAGTTCTGATTGTGGGGTTGGTTTTGTTTTGTTTTGTTTTGTTTTATATTGTGGGTGTGAAGGTCAAACCCCTAGGACCTCATGTACTATAGAAGTACTCTACTACCACAGAGCCAGCACCACCCCATTATTTTAAAAACACTTGATGATTGTGTATATTTTTGCTTAATACTTGATTTTAATATAGTTATTGACAGTATACATTCATGGTTCAACTCCTTATCTACTGTCCAACCTGATTAGAGTCCTTGGGCAAGTCACTTAAATCTCTAAGCCTCGCCTATAAAATGAGGATAGCTATTATAGGGCTGATAAAGATTAAAAGCAATAATCTATATGAAATGTTTAATTCTTCCCTAACATGTAGTCAGTCCTCCGTACGTGTCAGATACTTACTGATGAAGTCTATTTTCCTCATTCAGCTCTGCGGAGTATTTTACAAATGATGAGGGAAGAAGACCCTTCCAAAGTAATAGTGCAGTGGTGTAAAGATGGGCACCAACACCAGATTGTCCAGCTCCAAAATCCAGGGCTCTTAACTCTTGTTGTTCTCTACCTGAAAATCTTCTTCCTTGTAGCTCACAGGAACAACCTTCCCAAGCTCTCTCAAGCCATGTCCGTCATCCAACTCACTTTGATCACCATTAAAACATGATCTTTCGGGCTGGAGAGATGGCTCAGTGGATAAGAGGACTGGCTGCTCTTCCAGAGGTCCTGAGTTCAATTCCCAGCAACCACATGGTGGCTCACAACCATCTGTAATGAGATTTGACTCCCTCCTCTGGCTTGCGGGCATACATGGAGGCAGAATGTTGTATACATAATAAATAATAAATAAAATCTTTTTTTAAAAAGAAGTGTAATTTTAAAAAAATGATCTTTCCCTCAAAATGCAGCAGTTAGGAATGGGGGAGAGGGACAGTTCAGCTGGTGAAGTGCTCAGTTGGTGAGCACAGGTCCTACCTACCATGTAAGAAGCCAAGCATGGTACAGATTGCTATGGTCCCATCTTGGGAAGGTGGAGATGGAAAGATCCCTGGGGTTTGCTAACCAAAACAGTAAACTTCTGGTTCAGTGAGAAGATCTTGCCCCCATAATAAGGTAGCATATGATTAAGACATTGGACATCAACCTCTAGTCGCCATGTGTGTGTGTGTGCATGCACGCGCACACTCACACACACTTCCCAGCAGCAGTATGTGACTGTGTGAGTCTTTCATATATCACTGTATGCTGCAGCGACCTCTGGGGAAAGTCGTGAGCTCTTTGACACCAGGGCAGGGTTTGCACCCATTTCCCCTTTGGAGCTATTTCCCCTGAAAAACTTTTCACTAAATAGATGCTTAATAACCAGTCAAGTTGAGCAGAGGTTGTTCAAGTCCCAAGTAAGGAATTCTGTCCAGTTCAGACCAGGAATCATTTTCTGGCTAGTGTTGTAATAGACACAGAACTTAAAGAGAAAGAAGCCAAACCCCTTCTCTCAAGGATTTAGAGTTTCACTGAAATGTTTTGAAATCCTGACTCTTTTTAATGGAGCTAATAATCGAATGAACAAATAGTTCAGTAACGGGAATGAATTGTTATTTATTGTTGGTACAGATACAGTCATCTCCTCCAGCTGCTGCACAAGTTTAGACTACATGGTCACCTACCTCTTCAAGTACATAGCAAAGGAGGGCAAGAAGCAGCTTCGCTGCAGAGAGTCTGTGCAGGCCGGCCAGAGGCTGCTACACTTTATGCAGCAAAACCCAGATGTGCTACAGCAGGTAACATCGCTTCAACTGTTTCCCAAAAGCCAGTATGGCCCCTGAACTTACATAAATGTTTGCCAGGATCTTTAGCAGTTTCTCCTTCTTACTCCTCCCTGACAGTAGAGAGTCCACTGGCTTCAGTGTTACCCACCCATAAAAATCCCAGTGCTGATCAGTTCACTGCAGAATTCAGAAGGTTTGGTTCTTCTGAGGCCTGAGGAAAGGGGAGCAAAACTCGGACTTCTGTGTGGGACCTTGGACCGCTCTGCTGAAGTGTGCATTAAATGCATGGCCTCTGCGGCAATTGTGCTAACTCCTGCTCTGTGCAGACAACTTGCCAGGAGCTGTCCGTTCGTGAGAGTTCAGTGTAAGATTAGGAGTCACACAGTTCAGACATTAGGCAGTGTTCCCAAACATTCAATTAATAAATGATAATGCAGCAATTTGTTTTTAGTTGTGTTTTTTCAAAAAGATTTTTTATTTGTATATTTTATGTATTTGAGTGCACTGGCTGCATGTATACCTAAATGCCAGAAGAGGGAATTGGATCCCATTATAGATGGTTCTGGGCCACCATGTGGTTGCTAGAATTCAACTCAGGACCTCTGGAAGAAGGGCCAGTGCTCATAACAGCTGAGCTGTCTCTCCAGCCCCCAGCTGTGTTTTCTAACTAGCTAACACAGACTAAGTCCAAGTTTATGATTGTTTTAAATAACTCACCTCTGCTGATCTAAGAAATAACATACCTAAGAAATGAAGATACATGCCTGAATATTCCAAAGAGAATAAAGCCATTTCACAGATATACCATCACTATGATTGATGTTTCTACTTCCACAAAATTTGGGAAATGTGTGTATACTGTTTGCAGTTTCCCCTTGCCCAGGGTGCGAAAGTAAAGACCTCAGCTGCGGTGTGTTGATTGTGTTGTCGTTAGTGAGCAGTGTCGTCCGAGTCAGCAGACTAGACACTGCACATGAACATGCTGGAAATAGAACGGGAAGTCCATGGGAGAGGTTTCCGTCCTGGCTGTAATGCTTTTACTAGGATCAAAATGAAATTATAGAAGTCTTACTTGTGGTGACATTTCCGCTAACTAGCTGCATTCCAAGAACAGATGACATGGGTGTAGTTCATTCCTATTTTGAGTAACTAGCAAAAGGCTAATTACTACAGGCCTGTAACTCTTTGCTGTGACCCTAGAACTATTCAACTAGTTGGTAATGCAAATAATGAAGAGAACCCATTGAGGACCTTGTCACTGTGATTTCCAGCTCATCCATGCATATCTGTTATCTTCGGTGATGGCATGCTCTGAGCCTTCTCCATGCAGAGCTCACGAGGGCTATAGCACCTCCAGCCTGTACCAGGAGTGACTGACTTTGGGTGGGGCTAGAGATGTAGAGCTTTTAAGGATCTGAACAGTCTGTTTCATTTATTGTGTGCAAAATGCAAGAACAAGTAAGATTTGTAAAGATACAATTAATCAGTCGTGTTAACATAGTAATCCTAGAGACTGGCACAGAAGGAGAGGACTTCACAGCAGTCTAGTAATGAGGCTGTCATCATCCCCAGTTTTACACATCAATTCACTAGAAAGTAACAGGATTGGAATTTGAACCAAGGTCTGTTTAGTTCCAAAGCCCACATCCTTAAAACTCACACCACTGCTTCTCAAGGTATCTCAGAGTCACCTGGATGCAAAATACACATCCTGCCATGGTTAGGATGCACTTCTCCCAAACACTTCCACCTGCAAGTCACTGCTGGTCCGGGTGTAAGTGCATGGAGGAGGCTGAGGACCACTGGCTTACAGCATGTCGTCACTGAAGATAGCAAATGTCCATGCATACACTAGAAATCAGGCCCCGCCTACCAGGACAGAGGACAAGTCTACCACCAACTCCTTCCTGCTAGCAGTCATTCATCATCACAGTTTGTCCCATCAGCTTTGGGCAGTCACTTCTAAGTTGGTTGAAATTTTTAGTAAAAATCAATAGGCTACAAGCTAGTAGTAAGACTGCAGGAGATGAGCCAGTGTGTCTTTACTCAGAATCCCCATGCATTTGTTGGTTTAAGTCATTTCTGTGTGTTAATAGACTTGGTAATCTTTCACTTTATAGCATATGACTAAGTAGTGATATATCTTTATTAAGCAGTGGAATGCATTCTATTTATTTGGGATGTAAGCTTTCAGATAACATTTTAAATATTAATGACTGGTCTCTAGTAGTCAGCATAAATATGATTTGCATTAGCACTAGGTTGTATCATCTTGAGTGCCTCTGATGTCAACTATTGGGTATAGTAACATCTGACATCATCTCCTTAGGTCACTGACAACTTTGACCTCTATTCTTATGCACAGTTTCTGTCGTCTCAAAAGCTCTTTTGAATTGATTTGAAATTTTGACTCTTCCCTTTATGAGGCAGTAAAATTGATAATTATTCAGATGGGAACTGAGCACTGAGTGAAAAATCAATTCCACCCGCTCTCTGCTGCGTATAAAATTACTTCTGAGTCTGCTGGACTGAACGGATGGCCAGAGTAAAAGCAGCAGGCAGGAGCAGTGGGAAGAATTAGCTGGACAGAGCTAATAGCCTGAAGGGATGGTCCTGGAAAAGAAGGGAGTGGGCCAGTTGGGGGTTATTATGAGCAGGGATGGGCCCATTGATCATCTGTTTACATCAGCTTTCCGAGACCTTATAAATCAGCCCTGAAGAGTGGCAGAATGAAGATTCAGACTCTTACCAGAGGGATTTGTATTAGATTATTCTCATTTTCACACTCAGATGAAAAGTGAGCCATTGATTATTCATTGGTTGCCCATTAAATGCTGTTTTTATAGATGATTTGCCTATCACAGAAGGTAATGAACAAGGTTGCTGCTTCATAACTTGAGGTTTCAGTTTTCAAGGCATCTGTGTCGTTAAGTAATGCCTAACCCTATTAAGAGGAATGGGTTACAAATTGCTTAACAGTGCTGAAAAACTAGACCCTAATGACTAATTGTGCCTGGAGTTTAGAGAGGGCTTGTCAGCTCTTTAAACTAAACTGATGCAATGATACTGCAATTATTTACTGGTTTGAACTGTTTTCCTTCCACCCTGGACATATTTGGCTAGAAGCGTAATTGCATGGAGAGTGTCAATTCCAAACTGCAAACGTGATCTCAAGCTTCTGCAGAAAAGCCTAACACTGGGTGAAGGGTTTTCAGCACCTTCACAGGCCTTGCCTTTTGTGCACCACAACCCAAGAAAGGCACTATGTGCCTCTCGCCTGGATCTACAGTCCTGTGACTATAGCTCTTCCACAGTTTGTAAGCAAACGTAACCTTCAAAAATTAAAATTTACCCCATGTGAAGTCATTGAGTTTAAGTGAGTCTGTGTGAGGTAAGAAATGCTGACTCTCTAGTGTTCCTTTAGTTTAACATCTGAGAAAACCCCAGTCTGCATAAGTTAGGGGAGAAGAATTCCTCAAGTATCCTTATATCACTAGGTCAATGAACTAAAAAAAACTTAGATGATCCGCAGTAGCAGTGGTCAGATTGCTGATCACCATTGGTTAGTAGTGGGGGAGAGTGATCTGCTGCAGAAATTTGGCGACAGTATTTGTATGTGAATTTTTTTGGTTTCATTACTGGACATGTTAAATATTTGCATTCATAATATTTGCATTCCTTCAGATATATGAAGACAAAAGTTGTGCCCAAATTAGGTGAGTGTTGGCAGAATTGAGGAGCCATTTTAGAGATATAATGAATCCTTTTTGTAATAAGGGCACTGGTGCAGAATCTCCTCTGCATCAGAACCTCCTTCAATGCTCTAGAAAGAGTAGCACCTTGTGCAGAAGAAGAGCAATATCTGTGGACTGCCCCTGTCACTGAGCAGGCTGTACACTGAGCATGTTGATGAGGTGGTTGCAGTCATAGTCGTGTCCAAATACAGTGCATAGGAAAACCAGAGCGACTCTGACCCAGCCTAATGTAGCTAGATATTTGGCTCAGGTCCGTTCTATTAAAAATACAGAGAAATTCTAATTAAGATTTTCTTTCCCTACCTGTCTTCTTTTTTATTTCATTTATTTGTTTGTTTGTTAGGTAGCATGCCGTTTGACTAGAAATTGTAAAGGGCTGTCAGGAACTGTAAGAATCATACTTCAATAGGAACTTAAGCTAAAAGAACATTACCCCTTTTCCTCAATCAGTCAGTCAATCAATGAAAATTGCTTTTGTATAGTGCTCTTCATGACATGTATCCCAACGTGAATTGCAGCAAAAGGGGAATTGTCTGCTCTTTTTTCATCTCTGTATTTAGACTGAAATGATATTGCTCAACATTTTGACATGCTACACAAAACATCTTTCATACTTAAGATTCCATTCCTTAATACTAAGTAGGCGAAAGTGCCGACACATACGTAAGTGATGTTGAGGCTTTGGCCTGTGGAACCTTAGCAAGAGTCTAAAGGCAGAAAACACTTAACCAAATGAAATACATTATATTTCTTATTTAACTCTTGAAAAAGTAATTAGCCATATTTTCTAATATTAGTGAAATAACTTCTCATGATCCTTAAATTTAAAAGGAGGCCCTTCGTTTGACCAACTAATTTGGATGGTTAATTTATAACTTTATTACTGAAAACATGACAGTAGACTGATATCAAAACAGACTGAAAGAACATGCATAATTGGCCAAAGAACTTAAAGGAAGCCAAGGGTATGTTGTTAGATACAAAAAGTGGAAAACAGGCACTCAGGTTTTGTGACAATTGTTCTCACTTAAGTTGCCATAATATCGTGTCTTCAGCTCTTTTTCCTCTCCCACTGCTCCCCATTCTGAAAAACTAAAATTTTAACAAAATCCGTGTAAGTCCAGAGTTCGTATCCTTACCCCAAAGCTATCTGCTCCCCCATGGAGGCTTCTGATCTAGGAAAGTATGTTGTATTGTGTTCTGAACCTAATAATATGGCAGGTTAAACATTGTAAGTTCCACTGGGTTATCTCAAGG